TGTTTTTTCAATAGGAAGAGGGCCATGTGACACATCAAACTTATTGGTAATGTCACAAGAAAAACAATGGTGTGCTTGGTTTCAACGTAACCGCCGAGGAATAACTAAACATCTGACACAATGAGAAGGAAAGAGGCCAAGCTGCAAACAAGTCAGCTATGAGCTATGAGCTAGTGAGTCCCTAAAGACACAGTGAGTGAATACTGTGTAGGGTTGGGCGATTGGACGAATATATATATATATATATATCAGCGATAGGCTGAGCTTATCATCGATCATTTTTACAAGGGCGATTTATTTATTCGCCCATGAGTGTGTTTGCTAATAATGATGGAGCTAATAGAAAGAAATAATAATAATAGCGCTGTTTTAACAGCACCCTCTTTCATCTGTGAAGCAAATGCACCCTCCTCAGAGTGCGCCCAAATGCAGCAATTCATTTACTTCCCAAATTGGCAACTTTATATTTTTTTGGGCAACTAGTTCGTCCATGTTTGGCCTTCTTCTGTGTTGTAAACGCGCAAATCAGTCCTTGCATGATTACATTGCTCCGCCCATCAAAAAGTCTGCATCCCATCAAAAATATATCGCCCATCGTCGAATGTCGGTTGGAAAATTTTTACATGTCGCCCAACCCTAATACCGCGAATATAACTAGTGGGTGAATGAACAGAGAGTGGGGGAGTAGGGACTTTTTTTTCCAGGATCCTGAGATTAGTCAGAATCCTGGAAAAACAGAATTTTCTGAGAAATGTCAGAATTATGAGATTTTTTTAAGCTACACAAAAACATCACTGTGTGTTGTAACAGGAAGTGAGGAAGTGTGTTGTAACAGGAAGTGAGGAAGTGAGGAAGTGTGTTGTAACAGGAAGTGAGGAAGTGAGGAAGTGTGTTGTAACAGGAAGTGCAACACCAAGTAAGAGCCTTTTTCTCTAGTTTGGACCCAAGGCCATCCAAAAACAGAACATGAAGTCAAGGCTGCCCTCAGGCCAAACCAACCAGTAACGCTACACATTACCACACATCCTGCACTCCTGAACAGTGTAGATGACCACCTGTGACAGTGGGTGATGTAGGTGCAGGTCTCTTCCCAGAGGCCTTTCAGGTCTTTGAGCTGAGTATGGGTGTGGTTCCTGAGCTCTTCATTTCCATCCTGCAGAAGCTGCTCAGCAGCCACCAGCACCATGTCCATCTTCACACGGCCTTCTTCCTCTGACTGGCGGATCTTCTGTTGTCGAGAGAGAGAGAGAGAGAGAGAGAGAGAGAGAGAGAGAG